ACACTTGTGTGTGTGCGTGTAATTTAAACATGTCAATTGTTTGCAGAAAAATGACATCAAATATGCTTATGAAGACATACTGTGTTACCTTCTGTTATGAAGACACTCTGTGGAAATTGTTTTTGAATGGTGCTCTAATAAATTTTTAACTCATAGCCAGAAGTTTACTGGCGCCATTATTTCACCATACTCGTAAGCCAGTGGTTTCAAAAACATACCACAGTGAATTTAATAACTGATATTATATGATGCATTATAACTGATATTTGGTAAGAAAGGGTAAAAATCTTTCTGTATGCTGAGTCTCCTAAATCTGCTTTGGATTGATTGGCTTTTCTTTTGCTACATTTCTTTTCAAATAGATTATGATAAAACTTTGAACTAGCTATTTTATAACAATGATATCACCAGCTCTTTCTTTCTCCCCCCTAAGTACCCCTTTTGAGCAGGGTGGAATTTTTGAAATCATTATATAACTGAAATTCAAATCGTTGGTCAATTAAACGTTGTTTACTGGATATTGCACAATAAATTGGGATGTTGTGATATTGTTCATTTATCATAGTACAATTATTTTTTACAATATACTCTATTCCTGCAATAAAAACTAACATCCTTACACTGTTATAGACTCATCACTATGTGTCATTACTTTGCTAATATTCCCTTGCACTGTTATAGACTCACCACTATGTGTCACTGTTTTGCTAATATTTCCTTACACTGTTATAGACTCACCACTGTGTGTCACTGTTTTGCTAATATTTCCTTACACTGTTATAGACTCATCACTATGTATCACTAATTTGCTAATATTCCTTAAACTTCTCCAAAGAAAAAAAAAAGTTCCCAAAAACCTCAATATTTGTTTTGATTTCTCAATTGTTTTATGAAGTTTTGATATCTTTTGAAAAGTTTAAATTCTGTACCATATTCATAATTGAAATTGTACATTTTTTAAGTGCAATATTTCACTCTAGGCTACTTTCTTGCAACTGCTTTATATAATACTAATATCTCTGGTATTGATTCTAACTCCTCAATGTTCTGTTCTGTTTTCATTCATTTCCAAGGATATCTAGTGAAGACTAGGGTGTTTTTATTCAATGTACTTTCATTTTATTAGACATATAAACTACTAGATGCAACAAAACACTTTTTTGTTCTTTGATTTGCACCTTTGAAAACAATAAATCTGTATATCATAGTTTTTTTTTGTAGATTTAGCCATGACTATATTTGTGTAGACTTTGCTGGTCCTTCACTGCAATTAACCAATTTAAAGATGAAAGTATTGATTATTTAAAACAACAGTGAAAAAAAAAGTATTATGATGAAAATGTGTATCAGTGGATCAAACCCACTTAATCCACATTTAATGGTGTCTAGTAATTGAAGTGTAGTTATGTTGTGATGAAATTTGTGATGTGATGAATTGTTTCCAGCTCAGTTACAAAACAATATGTGTAAAAAAACAAAGAGAGATACACCACTAATGGTTTTCACCAGTTGTTCCAATTCTTACAGGTTTTAACAAAATTAGTATCTTGTTATTACTGAATTCTGGCTTATGAGCAGTAACTTATATATCACTGAAATTATTTGGTCTACTGCTATCTCCAAAGTTGAGTTGAATTGTGGTTAGTTCTTTTCATATTGCTCCAGTAAGTTGAACTGGAAGGCTTTTCTTAAGACCATGTAATCCTGTCTCTGTAGAGTCCTATTGTTGCAAAGATCTTCTGCACATTTGTAATTTCTACTTTCTTGGTAGAAGGGCTAACCAAAGATATCCTTGTACGTTTCAATAATTATGTTTTGTATTTTAGTGAACAGTAGTGACATAATTTTGCTCATTATTCATTTATTGCATGGTTATTACATGTGTTTTGTTATTTGTATACACTTGATTACAGCATGACTTTAATTACTTTATATTGTACATTTTTTATAGAAAACGATTTCAATGTATGAAATATATCTTCATATACTGTGAGGCACTCTCTGAAAATGTTAATAACTTTTAGATGCTGTAATAAATAGAGAAACATTGAAGTTTCCGAGTTCAATTTGACATGTATTGGGTTTTATTCTTGAGTTGTGCCATATCTTATATAAAAATGTACTTAATAGCTAGACCTGAAAAATATTTAAAATTTTGCAGAAATCAATGACCAGTCTTTCACCCATAAGTTATGGAAAGTGGTGAAGTTTTCTACTCTAAAACTATTTTGTTTTTTACTTTGGATATTCCTGAAAAACTACACAAAGGCTCTCTGCACTGGCCATCCATGATAAACTAGAGGGAAGGCAGCTGGTCAATAGTACCCACCACCAACTTTTGGGCTATGCTAATCAAACAACAGAATTTGACTGCCGCTCTTATAACTCACCCAAAGATCAAAAGTGCAAGCACAATTATGCAACAACAGAACATGAACCAAGGATTCTTGGGCTCACACTCCATCATGCAAGCTAATTGGCCACTCTTGGTCCACTTTAAAAAGTATATCAGTTTTTAGAGTATTCAAAGTAATGTTTATGAATAACAAGCTGAATGCCCATCATATGACGGGAAATAATGATAAAATTTTCTTCTCAAAATAATATCTAAATATAATATAAAGGTATGAATATATGTAACAATATATGTATGAAGAATCACTATCTTATTTCTAGTATTTCATGAAAACAACATTTTTTTATCTATATTTAGTCATATCCTTTAAGTATTGCTTGATTAGCATTTTGACTTCTGTATATTTTTAATTATGTTCAAATTTTCTTCTTGATAAATCCTTGTAGATTGATACATGCAAAAAAACTGATTCTCAACGACATATTCTTACCTGGTCAGCTGTATAACCCTGCAAATTATCACCTGTCATGGTAAAGGCAGTGAATTTTATTATGAATTTCAGGGTCTTCTCTTTGGACTGTCTTCCTGGTTTAGGTTTTGTTAGCCTGCTGAGCTGAAGCAGTACACTTTAATTTGACCATTTTCAAAATTGAAATGTGCTGTGGGTAAAACTTGTGGGTTATTATAGAGTTGTAGCCAAGGGTTCAGATTGGACAAAGTTTGGTGACGTTGCTACAGTGTGTCCCCTTGACAACAAGGCAATGTAAAGGAGATTCAGCTAATGATTATGATTTTTGTGCACCAGTAGTACTAACCGTGGGGTGCTTATATACTCGACTCAAATTTTATTACTCATCGTGATCTGTATCAACCTACCCTCAAATCTAGTTATCTGTCCAAAGTAGCACATCGTCCATTTTATATATAGATGGCTGGAGGAATTTTAAAAAGATATGCTTGTCACAGCAGAAAGCGTCGTTCTTTCGTGCAAGTTGCATGTCAATTGGTACCGCAATGTATGAGATATCGGTGTGACAGATGGACAGCTTTTTTTCTTCATAAAGTAGATGTACAGTTTTTTCCCTGTGTGAAATTTACAAATATATAAACATTTCTGTCATTATATTAAATCAACTATGTTGATTTTCCTCTCTCTTATCATTGATTTTTTTTAATGGAACAGGATGACAATGTGGAAAGCTATGGATTTCAGAGAACTATGTTTGAATCCAAGTGATAAAAAAATATATTCCCCATACTTTAAGCTGTTGGTGCATTAAAAGAGTGACAGTTGATCCCTTAGCATAGATGATAGATGATAAGATACTACTGACTGGCTGCCTTCTTTGTGGTCAGTATTTCGAAATTAGGGATGGCAACTGATAGTCTTAGTAATATTACCATAAATACAAAAGATGTTTTAACAATTTACTTATGAACACCATAAAATTTGCAGTACAAGCCAATTTGGCAAACAGAACCATTATCAAATGTTTTTTGATAAATAAATTTTTATTAAATTAAGGTTTTAATGTAAGTATAATTTGAGGACTTCAAAACTAGGTGAAATAAACTCTAGAAGCTGCAATAGTAATAGTATTGACACTGTATGGAATATGTTTCTTTTAACATTTGATTTGAAACTATCATTAAAGAAAGGGTTTTTTTTGTACAGTCTAATTTACTTTGTCACTGTAATTTATTTATTAATATACTATTCAAATTCAAAATGTTCACCTACTTCAGATACGTAAGGTTTTTTTATTATCAAAAATTGAGATACTAGTGCGTTTAAGTTAATTTCATTGAAAATGATCAACAGGTACTTTGTCTCAAATATGTTACTACCCTCTTGTATATCTTAACTAAAATGAAATTTTTTAAAAGTGTCCAAAGTTTCATATAATGATGAAAATGTACACAACTTTTAACAAAGATAGCATTATCTCATTAGTTGTTTCTAACATGTAAGTATTACTCTGTTTTATTATATGTTTGTTTTGTTTTTTGGTAAAAATTCAAGTTGTGTAGGGCTTAGCATTTCTTTAGTTTAATGTGTTGTGTTTATTCCATATTGACATGTTACTTCATGATTTTTGTTGTAAACAGTATTTTAAAACTAAAGTTTGAAGAACAAATAATTTGTGCCAGGAAGTTCAGATTTGACACTATTATTTTATTTCATTTTTCTAAAGGGATTAGAAGAGCATGGTGCCGTGTATCCACAGTATAATTCACTTGAGCCTCCATCTGTAAATGATTCCCAGGCAAATGGTTTAAAGGAATCAGAATCAGTTTGGTATAACTCCGAACCTGATAAATCCTTTCATGTAAATATTCAACAAACTAGAAAATCAGAGGAACTTGACTCTGTGAGTCATAGATCTAAGCTTGATGAAAATTATCATGTAAATACTTCTCAGATTAGGGATTCCTTAAAAGAAGATTCTCCCTATCATAGCTCTGGACTTGGTAAAATTTCTGATATACATGATTCTCAGACTGAAATCACAAAGTTGGATCTGATTATGGGCATAGAGAGTAATCATACTGGTCCAGATGTTGACAGCTTAGGTACCGAAATAGCAAACCCTGGTCAGCCAATATCAAATACTGCACCTACACCTGGAAACAGAAGAGTGTATCGTACTCAACTCACCAAAAACAATCTTATCTCAAAGTCTGAACGGCAGCTAAAGACGTGCAGTATACCTCAGTTTGAAGCACACAGCAGTGAAGATGTTCGACGCGGAGGCAGCAGTCATTACCGACCGTGGTCGCACATTTACAGTAAAGCTGAAACAAAACAAATTTTAAATAGCTCCTTCAACGTTACTGATAATACATCCAGTGATAAGAAATTAAGTAAATCTAGTGGTAACTTTTCACAGTTAGGAGCAGCAAATAGTGAAAAGTATGCCACTGCAGTATTTAATCGTCACTCTTCAATCCGAACATCTAGTCCACGATCAGCAACAAGTGATAGTGTTCTACAAAAATTTAGAAAAACTTTTTCATTACGCTTCCAGAAGAATAAAAAAGACACCTATACCACTGGAATATATTCAACAAATGCTGGAAAAAATAAAAGCTTTGACGAATCTCTTTCAAGAACCGCCTTCTTTGAGGAAAGTGACACTGACTCCTTGTCTCAATATGTTGTATCTGGGTTATGCTTTAACCCTGAAAGTTTCAGGAAATCACCTCAAAATATAGGTTGCAAGAATCAGTATGAAAAAGGTGGTTCTTTGGTACTAAGATCTTCCAGGGAAAAAACGGGAAGACACAGGCATGATCGGCACAGCCTTAGAGTTTCTAGTGTTTGCTGTCCTGATTCTTCCAGACAATTAAAGCCAGAAGTTTCAGTTACTCAGGTGAAGTATAGTTTATATTCAACAAAAATATTATGTGCTGTGTTGGCATAAAATATATACAACAGACGTTATTAGTTAAGGA